ATAATATTTAATATTTCCTTTATAAGATTTCTATTAAATACAATATTTTATAGATAAAAAGAAAGCACAAACCCCTTCGGTTATAACTCGAGCATGTGCTACGAATAGTATGTTATTTGGGTGCTTAATGTATATGAGCTTATGAAATTTATAAGGTATTAAATCTTAGCAAATAATTTATTCATAGATTTTGCTTTTAGTGCATCAAATTTGCCTTCAAATAAAAGACAAGAATCAACTAATAGCCAATATCAAGAAATTGAACAACCAGCTGAGACAATTTTTAGTGATGAAGAGAATGAGCAATATCTAGATGAAGGCGAAAAGACATTGGGTATGCATTACATATATTATTTTAAATAATTTCTTAACTATAATATTTAATTTAATTTTTATAGATATTACAAGAAGGAAAATTCGTAGAATTACTCCTGTTACAACTCAAGCACGCAATACCAATAACCAAATTCGAGGAATTAAAGATAAATACAACCACAGAAAGATATCGGGTATGCATTATATATATTATTAAGATAATTTCATAACTACAATATATTTATTTAATTTAATGAAAATAATGATATGGATACAGATGAAAATAACGATATGGATAAAAATAACGATACAGATGAAAATAACGATATGGATAAAAATAACGATATGGATGAGAATAACAATACAGATGAGAATGATTTTACAGAATATTTTTTAAATAATTCTGATGATAATATGGATGAAAATGATAATATATACAATTGTCCACCAAGTATATTTCTGGGCCTCGCACATGAGCTACTAATTGATGTTATAGAAGATGATCCAAAAAACGATGAGATTTTTGAGGAAGAATCCTCAGAATTTGAAGGTTTTAATAGAGAATATGGTCCATACTTTCCAAATTTTATGTCTGTAATATTATATATCTGGATCACAAAGCACATGATTTGTAAATAATATTGAATATAAATAGTGACAGAATTCAAAAATGGAAATTAAAATAATGATTACTAATTATTTTCATTGTTAAAAGTTCCATTTTTGAATTCGTGTTTAAATCCAAAAAGAAAATTTTTAATAAATTTTCTTTTTAGATTTATTTACATATTATATTCGTAACAGACTCCAATCTGAGTTGGTGTCACCAGATATAACTTTTAGATTCTAAATAAGTGCATACTATATACTTATAAATCATTTATCTTTATTGCTATATTACATAGCAACTAGTGCATATGAAGATCTTTTTAAAATTCTCATCCATATTATTATTTTCATCCATATTTTCATTCTCATCCATTTTGTTATTTTCATCTATACTATCATTTTCATCCATATTATTACTCTCAGTTTTATCAGTCTCAATTGCTTTAATATTGCCGATTTCATAAATATCATTGTTAGTTTCAATAGCTTCTTTGGCAGCTTCTTTCTTATATTCCCTGAATGAGAAAATGCTCTCTAAAATATCTATATCTTGAACTACTTCTAATGATTCTTCAGCTTCCTCAGCAGCTTCTTCCTTAGTTAAATAGTGTTTCTTTAAAGAGAAGACTTGCTCTACTTCTGATAATTCATTTTTTTGTATCATTTTAAAATACATAGCTTTGGTACTGCATTTCGATCATAATGATTCTTGGTTCTACTTGATCATTTCATTGTTATGATTTCTAGATGTAATTTCTGCTTATTTTGCATTTCTAATGCTAATGATTTATAATCAAAAACAAATTACATATAGTCAAAATAAGATGATAAAGTGTAACTTATGTAATTAATTATGCATCATTAAAACAAGTAACATGCAGAATATACTATCTGGCTATAAATTTCTGTGTATATTTTCTGCTTATTTTATATTTCTAATGCTAATAATTTATAATTGAAGACGAATGACGTATGGTCAAAATAAGATGATAAAGTATAACTAATATAATTAATTAATTATGCATCATTAAAACAAGTGATACTATCTGGCTATATATATATTTTTTGAAGGTAATTATTTTTTACCATTTTTTGCCAATTACTATGCCTCCTAGAAAAAATCCACTAGTAAGTGGATAAAATAATATTTAATATTTCCTTTATAAGATTTCTATTAACTATAATATTTTAT